AGCAGCCGCCCAGCCGCCGTGCTTGGTGGGGCTCCCTTATCCCCCATTGTGTGCAATTGCCGTCCAACAGGACTGTGGCGGGAGATTAGGAGATGACGGCTTGTTTATGCTGGTGACCAACTTTCACCTTCCCACGCTGAAAATATTGACGTGCTCCAGCACGCAGTGCTTCCAAGCTGAGATGTGCAGCCGATGAGCATTTGGGGTGGCAGATGGCTCTGCAAAGTGTTTTGCTTACGGCGGTGAGGACTGACACCTCCAGCACCCCCCCGTCTGCCCGCTGGAGGGATTTTTAATTTGTGGAGCTGAGGCTGGTGTGGTTTGGGGGACTCGGATCCCAGTCCCACCCATTCAGATATTTTTGGGGTGGTGGCTGAGGCGTTGCTGCAGCATCCACGTTTGGGTGCAGGCAGCTTAGGAGAGCTCGTCTGCTGCCAAAGAGGGACTCCTTCTAGTGATCTGGATTGGGGCACTGGCCTGAAATGGTCCCATTCCCAGCCCCACAGGAGCTTTTGTGCAGGTTGGGTGGTTGGGTGGCTTAGGAGTCCAGGGGTGTATTTTCACCTGGCGTAGGGAATGTGCAGCATTAATAGGTGTCCTCTAATCTGCAGAGCTGTGTCCTCCATAGCCTGGGGGACATGGACATCACCTCCAGGAGCAGGGAGGAAGCAGAGCCGCACTGTACTCCCTTCCCTCCTGCCACCACCAAGAGGCGATTAGCCACAGACAAGGGATCAGACCTGGGCAGTATCAGGGCGTAAACTCACCCCCGTGTGCCACGGTTCTGGCAGCCCCTTTTCCAATGCACCCTTGGGCTTCAGCACTGCTTTGAGCTGGGACCTTCAACACAAAAAAGCTCCAGTGCCGTTATCTTTTGGTGAGTTTTCCAGCCCATGCTGCAGAGCATCACCAAATTTGATTTTCAATAAGGCAAAGCTCAGCATCAGCAGATGACTTCTTTATGTCTCACCTCCAGCTTCACCCCGCTGCCTTGTCCTTCCCCCAGGGAGAGAGGGGCAGGCAGTCTTGGTACCAGGCAGCAAAAAGAAGACTCCTTGCCTCCTCGACTCGTTAATTAAAGCCACAAATTGAGCTCTTTTCTTGCAATCTGAAGTGATCACATAAATAGCATTGACAGAGCTAAGGGACCATTTGAAAAGATCCTGCAGGATCAGCACATAGGAGCTGTATTCACTTCCAGGAGTGGGGACCATAATTAAAACCAAGATGCTGTTTTCTCTTCCCCCCTGAGTGCAGAGTTCAGCCTGGACGTGGAAAAAGTCCCCCCGGTGCAGTGAGCGGGTGATTTTGGCTCTCTGCGCTGGTGTGTTTTACCTCTTTCTCTGTCAGGGAGTTGTCTGTGAGTATCCTTGTGTGGGTTTCTGGGTGTAATCCTCACCTGGTCGTTGCTTTGCACGTGGTTGTTTCAGCTGAGCGATGCTGGGAGTCCCAGATGCTGGCTGTGGTGTAGGATGGTCAGTGGTGCAGACCATGAGATGCCTGTTTCGTGGAGATGTGCAAAGAAAAACCCACCTTCCCACTGAGGGGACGCTTGGCCATGTTCACTGGAGACAGCTCCCCCGGTTCAGCGCGGATTGCCAGCAGTAAATTCCCGTGCTCCGTTGCATTTGTGGTTAATGAATGAGCGTCCATGGGGGTGTTTTCTGGCTGTATCCATTCCTAAATGCTGTCGGGAAACACCACTGTCCTCTGCTTACCCCTTGCAACTTTAATTGTGGGGCACATCATGCAGGAGCCTGAGGGATGGCTGGCTAAATTGAGATGGTATTTAGCAGCTATCCAAACTACCGGTGCAAGGTTGATAAGCATAGTCATCAGCACCTCTCTCCTTGATGTTATCCATTGACTGAGTAAGCTCAATTCTCCTGGAGTTCAGCCTTAATATTTCCTCAAGGAATAGGGAGGCTCTTAAAGGAGACACAGGATTATCATTGGAAAATATTTAACTAAGAGGAAAATACAGCTGCTCACGGAAATGGGATGTTGTACCATGAGAAGTTCCAGTGAAAGCGATGAGCTTTGTCTGGTGCAAGATGCTATTCAGGGCAAGTCTGAATATCACAGTTGGCCTGAAGTGATTCGTGCTTGCTGCGGTGCTTAACATTTGATTTCCTTTTATTGCTTCTTTGCACACATAAAGCTAAATTCAGAGCTGCTGGAAGCCACGGGCAAAGCCGTTGAGTTCAGTACAGCCCACCCCTGAAGCAACTGGGAGCAGCCTGCAGCTGGGCTGGTGTTCGGCACCGAGCGACGACAGAGCATCGGAGTGACACTGTACACTCATGGTGTCTGGTCTTACATGTACAGTTGCAAAATTTGCTGTCACTCTTCCTGCACAACAAACCATATATGATTTTTCTACATCTCTCTCATCAGAACAGCATCTGAATGTCCCTAATGTATCTCCATAAAAATCTTCACAGTTGTTCTAGCAAACAGCCTGGAGTGCTGTGGTCTTTTATGGGCATTAATTACGTTAAGCAAAGCAAATTTCACAATTATGTCGTCTGTGGGAGCAGCAAACTTCTCCCATCAGTCTCCCTGAGCAAAGCAAAGAGAGTGATGACTGTCCTGCTTTCATCCCAGTCGTGGTTTAAGATGCTTTTACAAAGACCAGGACAACAGTCCTTGCCCAAAGCAGCTTCTTGTTCCTCCTGCTATTATCATAACTTTCTTGATGTACTTGACATGTCATCAAATGTTTCCGAGCAGCATCTTCCTTTGAATAGTAATAAAAAACCCCACGTTGCTGTGCTGTTCTGACTCATTGTTTGTTTTTTGGTTGGTTTTTTTTTTTTTTTTTACTTCAATTTGGCAGAGCCTGGTCTCAGCCTGTTTCTCCGAGCAGCACAAAGCCACAGTGGGAAAAGCTGGGGACAGTCCCCAGCAGCATCGGTTTGGGGCACTGAGCTTTTGAAATGTTGGGAGGTTGATCTAAGGGAGGAAAAAAAAAAATAGAGAACTTAAAGGAGGCCAGTTAGCTCTGCTGCAGTGCAAAAACAGGACTTGGTTTCTTGTGGCCTTACAGGCTGCAGCTCCTCTAAGGCACATCGCAAAGCCGCACAGCATCCCCAGGTGCTGCATGTTGTCGCTGGCAGTGGAATAGCTGTCGGCTTTTAGCCAAGGTTGCTGGAAAACTCCGTAGTGACGTGAGTCATGGCACTTGTCTGGGGCTTATTTTCAACTGCATTTCAGCAGTGTCACTCTCCGAGCGCATCCTTCTCATGCCTCAGCCACAGTGTGATGCTCACTGCCTCCCATTTTGGACCAACAGTGAGAGAACTTGAAATGGGACAAAAAAGGGCCTGGCTGACAGTGATTGTGCTGGAAAATTGGATTTCAGTCATTCCAGTCGGTGGGAATTTAAGTTGCATTATCAAATGGAGTGTGGAAGTTTTGCCTTCCATTAGAAATCCACTTTTTTATACGGGTGGGGATAGCAGGGGCGGGAGAGAGGGGATGCAAAAATGCACCGTCCAGCTTGCTGTGATGTTCAAAAGGAAACATTTTGCTTTGGCAATGCAGAGGTGGCTATTTTGAGAGAGCTCGGGGCAGGGGAAAGGTCCAGGGCAGTGGTAATGTTGGCCTAAATTAAAAGCAGTAAGGTCTGCCGGACGAGATGGGTGTCTGAAACGGCAGCAAAACATCTTGTAGGTGGGGAGATGTCAGCAGAGCCCAAAGCCGGGTTTTCATCCGTTTTGCTAAAAGCCAAGGAAAAGGAAACCAAACCCACAGTCCCTGTGATTCCTGAAAAAAAAAGCTGTAATCTTTCCTCTTCCCCTCTCCCAGCCCCTTTGGGGGGGGTGGCAGCACCCCAAGGATTTTCTGTTAGATGCAGAAGCACTTGCCAGGTCCTCCCTGATAGATGCCAGAGATCAGAAGGGCAGATTATTAGGCCCCCCTGCTCCAGGAGAACCCAAGAGGGCGAAGGGCGCCAGGGCTGCTGGGAGGAGGAGGAGAGACCTGTACACTTTCTCATCTTTTGACTGCACCTGGTGCACTGGAGGCATAGATTAAAATGGGTGGCCAGCCAAGGGGTGACATTTGCGAGCAGCACTCGAGCCACAAGACACTTTTTAAATGTCTTCACGCTTCCCTGATGCCACAAAAGCAACCGTCCCGATTTTTTTTCCTGGGTGCTGCTGGCTCTGACATTAATTCCCAGCACTAACTGATGCAGGAGGAAGAGGGGAGGAGGAGAGGGTTTGCAGAGGGACAGCTGGGCGGTGGGTATTTGCCGGGCTTTTACAAGTAGGAGGAAAACAAGATCCTTGCTGACTTGCTGCTCAGCTTTGTGCAATAAGGAAGCCAAAATAATTACCAATAATGAGCAAATTAAAGGAATCGTCCTTGAGAAAAAACAGATTTTATCAGAAATCTTATTTGGGAGGTGAATTATTTTTGTTAATTGGATGCTATAAATCATTTCTTGTTAACAGCGCTGAGCTGGTGGGGGTCCCTGGGGTTACTGGGCGTTCGGGCACAGCTGCCAGGGTCCTGGGGAATGAGTCGGCTCTGGTCCCTGCAGCCCAGCGCGGGCTCACCGAGCTGGAGCAGCAAAGGCTGGACTGTGTCCTGATGCTTGTCCTCATGCTCTTGTCTGTCTTGCAGCCAAATCTTAGGAGAAAGGGATACTAACTGAGAGGGCGTCCGAGTAGAAAAGGCTGGGTGCATCGATGCTGTTTGCACTAGTGCTTCGGTACAGAAAAAGAAGGAAAGGTTCAAGGCCTTTTCTTTTTTCTTTAGTGCCTGAGGGAACTACAAAAACCTGAGAAAAGCGATGGTCTGGGGCAGAGGCTTGGCACCGAGCGGGCAGGGGGTGTTGTTGCTGATTTCAGCAGCGGCAATGTTGCAGCCAGAGCTCTGCAAGGGGCTGGGGCTCAGCACCTGCCTGCTCCCAAGTGCTCATAGCAGAGCTGCTACACCCAATTTCACAACACAAAAGTATTTATTTCTATTACTCCCGTGCATTTTTGCAGGTCCGAACTGCTTTGCAGGAACCACAATAATTCCTGCCGGCATTGAAGTGAAGGTGGACGACTGCAACATCTGCCACTGCCACAACGGGGACTGGTGGAAGCCAGCGCAGTGCTCCAAGCGCGAGTGCCAGGGCAAGCAGGCTCTGTAGCGGCAAAACCCCCTGCCAGCAGCACTACCGGCCACACAACCCACCGATGGTGACGATGATGATCACGAAGGAACGGCTCCGATGCTGCACACGTGTCCGACCTCCCGCCAGGTGCAACAGGGTCACCAGCAAAACCTGTGAGGGTTTTACACAAGCAGAGATTTTACATGCGGGGAAGGGTCTCCCTCTCTCCCCTGTCCAGCTCTTCGCTCACTTTACACACTACATAACCAGTATCTAGGTATCTACTCTGCTTTTTTAATTATCAGTGCTTGATAGGGATGCCATGGTCAGAGTCGGGGAGGGAAAAGAAAAAAAATGGCCCATGCAAGTCCTTGGACTGGTGACGCCTCCAAGACACCAATCGATTCACCACTCTCACTTTCTATGATGTGGATCCTGGGTTTTTTCACATTTATTTATTTCAGGGTTTTTTTGCTATTGTGATTTTTTTTTTTTTTTTTAAAGCCTCTTCCTAAGCTGGGATCATCGGGGCAATACAGCTGTGAGTGAAGCGATAGATCATTTTTATCGCGTCTATAAGGGGCAATGGCTGGTAGGGCCAGGAGGGAGGTAGAAATTAAAAGGGGAGAAAGGGTTAAAAAAAAAAAACCAGCTGGAATGTAACCTGCAGAAGGATCGAGGTAGATGCACAGGTATATGACCAGACACCCAAGACACAAGCTGTATCTGTGTTACACTTTCTCCACTGAGTGGGGACAATAAAGTTGAAGACACCTACACAGTCACCATGACCTTGATGGGAGCAAGAGCCGACCCTGGCTGCCTGGGCAGGCAGGGGTGGTGAGCCACAAAGCGTTGGAAGGGCACCAAGGAAGCAACATCTTGCCTGGGTTGTGTGTGATGGCCAGCTGGGGCATCGGAGGTGGAAGGGAAGAGGGTCCCACTGGTGCCACGGCTCCGCCGGCTCGTGGGCTGAGCAGGTGCTCACCTGCCCTTCCCCATCCCTGTTTTGACGATGCCGAGGCTGCTCTCACCGGAGCCAAAAGCACCATTTCATTGACTTCAGCGACAGCGGGGCTCTGAGCTCCCCTCTCTGCCTGTCACCCTTAGGGAGGTCCCCAGAAACATCCCACCGCTGTGCCACTGCTAAACCAGCTCAGCCCCTGGGCAGCACCCACGGGGAACTGGGGACAGGCTGGCTGTGTCCATGGGAAGCGGCTGCTGGTGAAGGGTCTCTCCAGAAAATGGCTGTGTGCCTGCCTGCTGGGAGGAGAGGTCCCCACGGTCCCTGCCAGCAGCTGCCGTCCCCCACAAGGAAGGGTCCCCTTCGGGCTTTTCGGCACCTCTTGCTTTCTCAGGCTGCGGCTTCCAAGCGATACCGAGAGAGAAGCCACCAATATCATTGTCCCCCTCCACCCTGCCCAGGTGAGAGCAGGAGCCTTTCCCATCGCAGTCCACGCCTGGTTTGCTGCTTTTTGGTCACAGCCATTAGGCTGACGGTGCTTATTTTGTTCAGACTTCAGTCCAGCACCTCTCTTAACGGCGATGGCAGCAAATCCTCCTTACAGCATCCTCCACCAGAGTGGATCAGCACAGTCAGTCTCGGTTTATGCACACTGTTGCCTTTACATTTTTATTTCTTCCCCGCTTTTGCGTGTTCCTGGAAGGCAGGGGTAGGACTAGCGCTAGCGCAGTGATTGCCGTTATTGCGGCTGGGCATCGGCTGCCAGCCATTTGAACTGGTTCCATTAAAGAAGTCATCGCCACATTTCTTTGTAAGCTCTTGCCTGTCAATGACTATCCAGTTTCAAAATTTTCAAACAATAGTGTGCCTGAAACTAGTGAGAAAAAAAAAAAAACACCTATTCTGTAAAAAATGGGGGGGTGGGTTCTAGAAACAATATTTGATGTGTAAAAGACTATATTATTAAAAAATTATTTTGTTAAATATAAAGTGTGTGAACCAGCAAAGAAAAAACAAACTAATTAGATCTCTGTGGTGTATTTTACTCTGCTGATCTCCCCCTCACGCTCCCAGTTCCCCATCCCGTCCCTTGCTCCAGCCCCCGACTCTCCCCGGCTTTGGGGAGTGGAGCTGGGCTGGGAGGTCTCAGAGCATGGGCATGGCTGTGGAGGTCCTCCGGACAGGAGGGGCTGCCCAGGGAGCTCCTCAACAGTAAATCAGTAAATCAGCTTTGGTACCTGCCAGACCGGGATTCCTTCTGGGGAGCTGCTGGGGGCCGACACAACTCCCAGGCTCTGGCTTTAACCTCCATCTGGTTTTGCCTTTTACTGGTGCCCCTTTATACTTGTTGCCATTTCCTGAACATGGAAATTTGCTTTCAGTTCACAAACTCCATTTGGTACCTCCAGATGCATCATTATTTACACTGATTAGTAGTTACTCTAATTAATTACAGCTTAATTACTGTAGTTAATGTTTGTACAGTGCTTGGAACAAGTACAGCACTATACGTGCCACATATTATTATTTTCTTCATTATTAATTAAGCACCATCTCCATTCTATGCTGTGCTACTTCATTATTTCCCAAGGAGTGGCAGCAGCACCCTTATTCCCACCCAGGAGTACTTTACTCCTGGCTCCCAGCAGGATGCTGCGGTGCTGGCTGCTGCACAGGGCGGGAGCAGGAAGAGTGGTATCTACGGTGAGTGGGATTGCTAAGCAGCATGGGGGTACTTGGGTTTTTTCCCTTCACTGTCTCTGGGCACTGAGTCTAAAAAAAAAACCACAAAAACCAAAAAATAACCAACTCTTTTTTTTTTCTGAACCAAAGAGTTTCCGCCTCATCTCAATCTCTTTCTTCCTTTTTTTTTTTTTTTACTGTTTTAGTTCATTTCTCCTTTTAATTAATCACAGCTCTGGGCCAGCCAGACCCATTAACTACTCTTCTCATTTAGACCTTTCAGAGATGCAGTTGCAGATGCAATTTAATTTGTTGACCCATGATCGATAGCAATTAATACCATCTCTTTAATCTTGTTGAAAGGTTCGTCTTGGGCTTCCAGAGGCTGCCATCTGAAGGGAAAGGTGTCTGATACATATGTTATTAGATGGTGGAGCACAACCTCCTCCACGGGTGCCGTCCTTCCCATCCCGTTGGGTTGATGCTGTTGAAAATACAAGAGGCATTTGTGGGAGATGAAGAGGAGAAGGTGGACAAAGCTGAGGGAAGATGCTGAGGGGCTGAGAGAAGAGCAGGAGGCTCGGTAGGGGAGAAAGTGGGGGAAGGTGGAGTTGATGGGTTGGAAAGATGAGGGATGTAGAGGACAGCATGAGGAGTTAGAAATGATACAGCCTAGGAGGTGTGGGCAGAAAAGGGAGACAAAAGCTCTGGAATAGGAGGAAAAGAGTGGGTCAGAGGGCGGATATCTTAGAGGCAGCACCACCAGCACAAATAACAGTGAATTTTGCAGAAGAAACACACTCAGAGCCAGAAAGGCGGCCTCCTGGGGTGTTTACTCCCAAGTCTCACTTTGATGTGATGCCTGTTTTTGCCTGCCCCCTCCTCTAGCAAGTGCAGCAGCTGTGTACAGCCTCCCTCCTTCTCCAAGCAGTGGGAAAACCCACCCCAAGAGCATCACCGCTTCCCCTGCCGAGGCTGGGGGACATGTGATGGCTGCACCCATCTGGGGATGGTTACACCCTCCTGCACAGACAGCCTCAGCGTTTGGGCAGGGAGCCTGCTGAGCATTATCCATGGCCATTCAGCAAGAGATGGACAAAGCTGCTCCTTTCTCAGGGCATTCATGCCCTCTGACCATGCTGATTCCCCTGGGGTCACAAATTAACTAGTTATCCCTGTCCCTGGGAGCTGCCAATTGATATTCTCTTGGCACTGGGCTTTCCATAGAAGACAGCAAGAGCGTGGGTAAGAGCAGTACCAAGAGATATCATCTGGCAGTTTCAGGGCACCCTTCCCAACACCACCTTTCCAATCATCAGCTCATGTGGCATCCCAGGTGCTGGCACCCGTGCCTGACGCCGTCTGCACGCTCAGAGCCATGCCTTCTTTGCAGTGCAGGGTGCTTTGTGCTCACCTGGCCGGCACAGGGCTCAGCAGGGTCCGCTCCCCCACCGTCTCTCCACTTCAAACCCTTTGCTGTCTGACTTTCTGATGGTTGCTTCAGATAGAGGAGATGGCAAGCTGGGGAAAGCGAGAGAAAGCACAAGCCAGAGCTATTAGACTTGTTTCAGTGGGACAGAGCAGGATTTCAGTAATAATTAATGCCACTCTTAAAGATGTTCACTTAGGCTGTAAGGCATCTGGCACAGGACAGGGCACAGTCAAGGTATTTTTAGTCGTTAACAACACACACACACGATGTTTCACGCTGCTGTTGTCTTTATGGTGATAACCCATGAAACCCATGAAACCCATGAAAGCGTGAAAAGAACCCACCGGGCCACTCTCCCACCTGATTACCCACAGAGGTTATTCTGTTACCCACATGGAGTATCCCTTCAGGTATTTCAGCATTGGCTTCGCTCTGTGTTTGGAGAAACAGCCAAATCCCAGCTTAGGGAGCTTTGGAAAAAATATAAATCTGGAAGGTAAAACTCCAAGGAAGCAGGTGAAAAATGGGGCTGGCCTGGGTTTGCGCTGTCCCTCTAAACAATAGGTGGTGATGAGACTGGAGGCTGCAGACCGTGCCTTGGGGCAGGCTGCAAAGATGGAACGTCCCACCACCAGCTGTGCAGCTGGTGTGCTGGGGTGGCTCCGGCTTTCGGCTGCTTGGGTCCTCCCTTGAAGGACTTCAGAAGAGGCTGTAGTAAAGCCAGGGTGAGGTGTTCCATCTGAAGTGTTTATATCATCCTCAACACTGCCATCAAGCACTTGGTTAATAAAAATAATTTCAATTTAATAGATAGGGACTCCTGACCTTTGCTCTTTTCATTACTTAGCTGGCTTGATAGATGCAACCTCTGCCTTGCTCGAACAGCTTTCTGCATTTCCTAGAGCCCAGCTGTATTCCTATAACTTCGCTGTATTTGCCATTTATTAGTTTTTTAAA